TGTGCTCTGTTATCCAATGTGATCTCATTTTAAATAATATCAGGTAATTTTACATTGCCTCCTCATTTTCAGCTCAACACATCTTCAAAACATTCAAGACATGCTCTCACATAAAGCTTGTTTCTTAGTCAGTGGCACTGCAGGAAAACATCAAAGATCTATAAGCGGCAAACATTGATTTGTTAGTCAGGTCAGGTATCTCTGTTTTTTAGCAGATCCAATCTCAAAACTATCACTGCAGAAGCAGGTGTAATCACATGACAACCAGACTGAAGAAGTTAACCATGTCTCAGACTGGTGTTTTTATACATTGTTATTGTTACCCACATTCTTAGATGTTAATCTGTGGTTTACCAAAGGTAGGCGTAAACACATTAAAGCCACGTGAAGTAACAGATTCCTCTGAAAACATAGAGAATTTTAAGTGAAGGACAAACCCAGCCTATTCAATTCATTCTGCTTGACAACAACTGACAGAGTGATATATGAACACACCCTGGAGGTATTAAGCTGTAAAAGATGCAGGGTGATAAGCCTACATAAGCCTATCTAGATATGCTCAAAATGCCGCCTCATATGTAAGCTTGTGAATGCACACATTAAAGTGAGAAGGGAAGTAAACAGTATTGCTCACTTCATGTCTTCTCTTTGTTGCTCATTGAATGTGCATGTTTACTCAAATGTCACATCAAAGCCAACACAACAATGCAATACTTGCAAGGAAACTGGTATTTTTTTCTAATTTCTCAGCTAAATAATATTAAGAAGGTTATTCAGTTTTCAAACATTATAGTTTCTTTTAATAAAATAAATATTGTATTTGACGTTTCAGAGTTATTTTTTTCTACAAGCAAATTTTTAAATACCGTAGACTATATATAAAAGATGTAATCACATAACACAACATTCAGTGCTACAGATGCCACATTGGCTTTGTGGAGCCCAATATAACATGTTTGGATGAGAAGGTGGAGTGCTGAGTTATCAGCTAGCACCACCTAGCTTAGTAAACAAATTGCCTATAAATGCGTATGGGTGTATTACAGACTTAATTGCTAATTAGTGATAATAAGTAACACATGAAAATAGTAGAAGTTTGAAGACCAAAACTTGAGTATTAAAAATGCCTATATCCAGAAGCTACAGCTAGATGCGTCAGTAATTAGCTACCATTATAAGTATGAGGCAAACTACCATTTTTTATACCAATTTTTCAATTCAATTGCATTTTATTTATATAGTGCCAAATCACAACAACAGTTGCCTCAAGGCGCTTTATATTGTAAGGTAGACCCTACAATAATACATACAGAGAAAAACCCAACAATCATATGACCCACTATGAGCTTTGGTGACAGTGAGAAGGAAAAACTCCCTTTTAACAGGAAGAAACCTCCAGCAGAACCAGGCTCAGGGAGGGGCAGCCATCTGCTGCGACCGGCTGGGGTGAGAGAAGGAAGACAGGATCTCAAATTAGGGCTATAAACTTTAACAGACTGTAAACATTTTTTTTTCCTCTTGTAAAGCCATTTTAATATGGACTCCACGGGTATTAACTCACTTTTGAAAGTAGCCTAAAGTGATTATTTAAGGAATTACAGTATTTGGATCTTTATAGTGGCTTCATTTTCAGCCCCAGGTAGTTGTTTTTCTTTTCTTTTAAATTTTTACAAGCCATTCAAGATTTAACATGTATTATCATTGGTGTGACACAGGGTTGTAGGAATAGTCTCCTACATTACTAAATAAAAAATAAAATCATTTATAAGAATTAAAGATTATTCTTTAATTATTTGACGACGATGGTAAGCCGATATAATTTGTGCTTGGCTTACAATCACAAAAAATGAATACTTTAAGGAAAAAAAGGTAAATGGAAAAAAAAAGCATCTAAAATATTCTGGTACAATTGTGCCTTCTATAGAGAAGAAGAAAAATAAATATATTAAATACACTCAACCTGACATAATAGCGCACGTCTATTATGGCTTATATATAGTAATTATACTTATAAGCCCTGAGGAAGCTTATCTTAGTATAAAAAATAATAATTATAAAATGAATTCCATAAAATAAAATGAAAGCTTGACAACCACTGTTATAATACACATTTTGCCCAACAGTTTTGTAAGTAAAACTATTAAGCAATAAAGAGGTTGCCTCACTAATGGCTGCCGGTGGATTTTTGGCTAGAACATTAGGTAAGGTCTTAAGTGCATTTAGTCCTAATGGTTCATTAATTAAAAATGGTAAGAAAAATAGATGTCATTTAACACGGAGGTTCCCTGTCCTTACATAGTTCTAATCCCCTCAACTAAGGGCTTAGAAATATTTTAATATTTCTATTTTGCATTTGAAGCAGTGCACAGTTGCTCATCAAGGTCCTTTCACAGGCTGTAAACTGCATAAAGTAAGTGGTAGTAAGTGGTTAGGACTTGGCAAGTACTGACCACTGGATGGGCTTTTCTTGATTTAGTCAAATAGCTACTCTCTAAAGGGAGAGCAAGAATAATTATGCAACATCATGAGTACACACACAGCCACATCAGTGACACTATCTTTTAATAGGAAAGTAACGTTTGGAAATAAAAACCTTTTTTGTAATAATGTGTATTATTAAAGAAAACATATACAGCATTTAATGGGGTAGTTGGACTCCCTTTATAGTTCACCTGAATGAATAAATGTAAAAAGGTAACAATCCCACAATGACCTCTTATCAATTTGTGTACTATTCAACCAGTGGAAAGCATATCAATGGGCTCTTAATATGCAGGTACAAATATAGTTGTTGAATGTGTGCATACTAAATAAATTTTGGGAATAAAACAAAACAATAAAAAAAAGCAAAAGCAATCACTGATTGTTGACACAAGCTCCACTTGTTAAAATTAGCCAAATGTGCTGATTGTATGGTTACGACTGAAATACACCATACTGGCTGTGATTGAATTAATTCTTTAGTGAGGGGGCTAATCAAGACCACTTTGCTATGTTTTGAAAAATACAATAATTATGGTTATCCAGTGAAGCAACATCCAAGCAAATTGGAACAATAACTCCATGAAATGGCTGCGTGCATAGATGGAATGCTATAACAATGGGAGCCATTTAAACGATTTGCAAATAATGTGATTCCGTTATTATGTGTGACTGAAGCCCAAAGAGAAGCTGACTTTACCTTGATGGCGGTGGAGGCGATCTGGATGTGGTGCAGCTTGTGCAGGGTGCTCTCCCTGTCAATGAAGTAGGAGGCGGCCAGCTGGTGCAGAGCTTCCAGCGTCACAGCTGTGCCATTTGATTCACTCGCTTCTGATGTTCGACTCAACTTTCGCTTGTCCACAAATATCATTAATGACTCTTCCCCTGCAAAAACGCAGACGCAGTGACACATACAGATTGATTATTTATGACTCCTCCGTGCGAACATCATCATACTCTTTACATTAAACTCATAAAGATGGAAACCTGCTAAGAGAACAAACAGCCCTTGTTACTACACCCTAATTTAGTCATGACTCTATTGCTGTATTGCACAAATTGAGATTTGTAGAAGTCTTATTATTTATTATTTTTCAGATAAAAGCTACATAAGTTTTCCATACAATAACCCCGTAAGCACAGGTGCCCAATTGATCCTGCTAGAAAAATTCCTCACCATTGCGCTGATCTAAAGGTGGTGGGAATGTGCCAGGAAACAAACAAACAGGGGAAATTAAGAAGACTGTAATGCAATAAAAACTGGACATAGGCACTGAAGGACGTGCAGTTCAAAAATCAGCATTGCAAATGTTTTTTGTACAGAGGTTGCAAAACACAATACTTTTTGTTAGCTAGCATAACTTTATATATTACAATATTCTTACAGAGCACTACTAGCACAGGCTAAAGGTAATGCTGCGCGTTATCTTTGGCGTGCAGCTGTATTTTCTTTCCTTTTGTTTGCAGCCAATAATGTGCAAGATTGTCTCTCCGATCTATTTGAATACTGTTGGTATTCAGAGTTTATGCACAAGAGACAAAAGATGAAAAGAGCCAAACAGAGCAGCTGGGAGGTGATTGAACACCAGATAGCTGGGGGTTTTGCTGCACATTACAGCACTCAGGCTAACTTAGATCTATTGTTATGGAAACAGATGATCTACTGACAGTTTCAAAGACAGATTTTACATGTTGAGTCAGAAAATCTGCGTTTAAAAAAAGATTACAAATGATTCCACATTCTTGGCCAAAATTAACTTAAATATTTAGAGTAGTTGAACGAGTGCAAAACAAAAAGCTTTTGAGCATTAAACATGTTTAACTGACAGACTCCCTGCTGCTAGAGGTTTACTCTTATTCTGAAGATTACCCTTGATGGCAATTTACTTATTTGATAGACTAAAGTCAAAAGCAACAAGAATAGGCAGACAGAGACACTGTGCCTGCATATGTACTTGGTTCTTTTTAATAGAATAGTAGTTGGAACACAAGTTACAGCAATAAAACTGTGAAACTAAATAAAAGAGTCCCTTTAGCATTTTTTATTTGGGTTTTGAAGTAGAGAAGAGAATTTTAAAGATGAAAGGGAACTGAAAACGCTCCAAAGTCTCAACAGACAAGCAAAACATGAGGCTTTTTTTCCCACTCAGTCAAATTCACTCTGGGTCTCAAGCTGAAATACTTGTAAAGATCCCGAAAAAAGTTTCTTTAACCCTCTGTGGTCCAAGTCGTCACTGGTGGTGACTGGGCTAAGATTAGTGTTAGGGTAGGGGCAGAGTTACGGTTGACACCTACGATGACTTCGACATCAGAGGGTTAAAATTTCTTGTTTTGTAAAAAAGGCTGTGTTCATCTGGCTTCCTAAAACATCACCTTGTTATTCACGTTTTAAGACAAGTCAGTAAAAGCAAAGATAACCACAAGCTGTGTTCTTTATTTACCTCCCAGTGTAGCAGAGAGCAGGAAGTGGGTCCCGTATTTCCTGATAATGTTGTCTGTGATGGCGCTAAGACTGGGCCTCCTGCCCAGCTGCCTAATGGTCTGGAGGAACTCGGGGTCCAGAGGCAAGGAAAAGCCATTGTTCTCTTGTCTCTCCAGGGCCAAGCTGTTCACCTTCCATCGGCCAAACTCCCTGCAATTTCACACAAACACATGCTCGCTGTAAGCAAAGGAAAACAACAGCATGAATGTTGCATTTGAGCTCGCTTGAAAACAGTCCAGCTGAAGCCAAATGTTATATGGACTCCTCCATAATAAGGTCTTGATTAGTCTTTCCTTTGCCTTCAATATATGAGAAGAATCTATGTTTTGGCTGTTTTGGGACATTTCCTCTAGACACACAATGCAAAGACTAAATCCACCACATTGATCTGAACAGTAGTTGCAAAGAAATGAAAATAGGCTCCCTTGCCGTTTTAAAGCAGGCAGGACACAGCTTACCCCTCACAATGAGGCCCATATTGAGAACTGTTCCTTGCTGGGCATAAAATGTGATGTATGTATAACCTCTAAGTGAATCATGTGTGCCACTCTTTAAAAGATGAATGACCTCATGCTGTTCCTACCTCTGGCTCACAGAATTGCTTTGCACCACGGTGTAAAAAATATTGTGTTTTTCCACCAATTTTAAATAATAGAGCAATCTTTTCACATCTCCAGTCACTGTTTGAGGAGCTGTGGCTGGACAGTCTGTAATCATGCGTGGAGTCTTGCTGCTTTTAGGACCTCTTTTGGAGAGAACAGGCTTCATCTGTAGCCGATTGATATTCAGCCTCGCCATGGAGTATGCCAGCTGCCTTTATCTACCAAGTGCAGACTGAGTGCTGCGGCTTGATGCATAGATTAGTGCTATTCAAATACAGCTGGTAATAAATAAGGTTCTTCCCGCAAACTAGCAGGGGAGAAATCTAAGACCTTTCAGTCATATTGGGTAGTTGACTTGGCTTTTGGGAAATTTGTTCGAGGCGATAGGGTAAATTATAACCTGTTATATTAAAGAATGGCTGCAACACAAGCATAACATGTCTTCTCAAAGATGTATTACAAAACCAAATGAACTTTAACCCTCTGAGATCTGATTTCTCCATTTGCAACAACCCCAACCTAAACCCTTCCTTTAATCGTAGGCAATCAGAAGATGAATATATTGTTTTATTGAATATATCTCCAAAGTGTTAGCAATCAGGGAACAAAAACATTAAATGTTCTCACTGGAAGACATCAAAAACTATCTAAATGTTTCCAGATAGGTCTTTTTTATCTTTCTCCAAAACATATGTTTAGGGATACGTTTACTGCTTGCGAGAAGTTGATTAAAGTAAATCATCAAGTTCTGGGAAATAATTTTAAAACAATAAACCTTTATTGCTTGTCCTTCTTTTACGCATAAACTGTTACAATTGTTATTACTCATAATGTCCAAAGTTTCAAAAAGTAAGTCAGCATAGGTTTCGCGAGGCGAAAGTCCAGGCTTCAGACAAGTTTTCTGTCATTACGCACCATCGGTTCAAAAAATTGAGCATTTTGTTTTTGTTTTCATTTTAAATTCAGACTTTTAAATTCACTGCAGAGCCTGGTCAACTTTTACACCTATATATATGTATGTATAGATATGTATGTATAGATATATATTACATGAAACCCAGACAAATCATCTAAGATTTAAATCGTCAACAAATATTACCAGAAATACCAGAAGGATGAGAAAAAGATAACTATTTATTTTCATTTGTTGCTGTTACTCAGCAGAGAATACAGAAAAAACATCTCTACAGTATTTAATTGTGTCCAGCATTATCCCTTTTTTAAATTGATCGTGTAATGGTTCACTGTGCAAGATGCTCTAACACAGCAGCACCTCATGTCAGTTCTTTCGCGTTATATATATATATATATATATATTTTAAATTACAATTTCCACAAAAACTTAACCACTGAAAAGGTGCCCACCAGTTTCCATGCTTACCTTCAATTAAGTGGGGATCATAATTGCATACTATATTGCATTTTAAGTCTTTATCAATATGACAATATCCAAAAACCTAAATGCTGTAGGTCACCAGACTAATATACCACTGTCATTAAACAAACACTTATAAACTCCAGAAGATTTTTAATTAGTAAATGAACAAATAAGTATATGAATAAACAAACAAACAAATAAATGCAGTCTACCAGTGGTGATGTAACTTATTAAGCTTCATATTGTTTTACTTCTATTCTGAGATGCAGAAGCCTTCTTTATTGCCCACAATATTAAAGCCAATGTTGAGATGTAGGTCATCTACTGTAGTCTTTTTTTGTTACAAAATCTACTTTATCTGTTTGCCTAACTGTCATTTTCACACGTGTCCATGCCCTGGTTTGTGTGTTGATTAGATCCAATATTCACAAAATATTACATGTACATGCACTTAATAACAAAATATTGTACTTCGATATTATACCTGTTCACTGATCTGCACACTGTTGATTTTCACACCTTTTTAATTTTGATTTTTAACTTTAATTTTTACTTGTTTACTTGCATCTGGTCGGAAATTGCACAGCATTAAGCATTTCACTGCATGTTGTACCCTGTATGATTGTGTATGTGGCAAATAAAAGTTGAATTTGAGATTTGAATATTCCTGAAAACTCCGGTATTAAAAAAACAATATTCCTGTATCTTTATCGTTTTCTTCTTTCAGACACATAAAACATAAACATATCTCCCTGACATATGGTCAGTCTAGTTTTTTTTTTTACTCAGCTCTGCTGGGATTAGCTGATTGTCGTCTTTGTAGCTTGCCAGTACGTGTGTTGCCAACAGGAAAGTTGTAGCGTGCCCTCTGATTGGTAAACTATGCACCACTCACATGGTTGAAGGTTGAAGGGTGTTTCTCCCATCTCTTCCCTTTCTGCCTTTATAAATGTGGATACTGACAGAATGACAAATAGCTAATAATAAATGATAATACTGACCCGCTGATAAATCTGTCTGGCTCTAGTGTTGATTCTTTGTAGGTCTCTGTTGAAGGTTAAATAGCGTTCTGTTGTTATACACTGCTTTGCTAGGTATTTCTTTCAGGAAGATGTAATCTGTGTTGTAACTGAAGTTTTAGTATCTTTCAGAGGATTTCACAAGAGATAAAAGATAACAGGATAATACTGACAACTTCCACATGCCTGAGCTACCAGCGTATGTGATATATATAACAAGCAATCTATCAAACATTCAAAAAACTATTTTTGCTGTAGATTTCTTCACATCTTGAAATGTCCTTACAAAGAACCCAGTGAAAACTGGGATTTATCACCTCCCTCTCGAGTACTCGAGTACATACTCCCTACATTCCACAGACACACGCCAGCTTCAAAATGCAAAGATAAATGCACGTGCATTCACACACCCTGCAGCTTTAAACATCTGAACAAAGCTGCCCTTGCTGCAACAACTTTGCTATCGCCCAGAACATCGCATAGTCCCCATGGGTGCGGGCCTGCTGCCAATCAATTTTTCACCAATAACAATGACCCCCTGAGAAAAATACAAAACAGAAAACAGCTCATTAAGTCCTGTTTCATGTCGGTGTTTCTCTATAACGAGCGGCCATTAGTGTTTCTTTCCATCCGCTGGGGCCATCTGAAGGAGGGAGCAATGGAGAGAGAAAGAAGGAGAGCGGTGCCGTGATCGGCACACTGCCTCGCTATCCTGCTCGCTGATGGACATTTTCGAACGGTGTCACAGCTAAGCTGCAGAATAACAGTGTCTGCACACACATGCACACGTTTGTTGACGAAGACTGCAATTCAGCGTCAACGTTTTGCACGTAGACGCACAAAGAGATCTTGCATTTCATGGAAGAGTGCAAGTTTATTTCACCCCTTACTCTTCTCAGTGAGACTGGAGTTGAGTAACTGGAATACCCTATCACACACACACAAACACACACACACACACACATAATAGGCAGGCTTATTTTACCCACAGCTCTGTGCAGCAGGGGCTTCCTGCGCTTCTACCTGTCACACCCCCATCTGAGCAAGCTGGAGTGCTGTGTGAACCAATAGGTGGAGAGCGACACAGGTCATGATCAGAGCCATCACCAGATGTCTCAGATACATCACTCAGTATGGACTGCCTGAGGGCGTCTTAGTGTCCAATATAACAAACCACAGAATGAAGCGAGCGAATAGCGTGCTAAAACAGTTGAAATATGGCAACAAGCAAAGCAGTGCACACTTCAGTCGGTTCACTATGTCACTGAGCACACCGAGGGAGTGTCTGCTTCTTCTGATCTTCCCCCAAGGTATGTTGATGTGGGAATTACTGCAAGGAAATTAAATATTTTAAAATATTCATTAAAAAATATGCAGTTTAAAAACATGAAAGTGTACTTTGTTGTGAATCAGTTTAAAGCAGCAGTAGGATTGGAGGATTTTCCTTTTTCCAATCTCTTTGTTGTTTTTATTCAATCTCAAAATTACTGGCCCTGAAGATATCTATCTGTCCTTTTCAGGTACCAAAATTCTACATCTATATATGAAATGTATATGCATATATAATCACACCATCTGCTTCAGATTTTAAGCTGCAGTATCAGGAGACAGTCTATGTTTAGAAATGTTTTTTAAAAATAGTAAAATGTTCATTTTATTCTTAGATTTTTAAGGTTTTACTGATTCTTTTAAGTGAATTAAAATGCATTTAAGTCATTTTTGGCTTCAGGTTTCATTCTGTATTTGTCGTGTAAATCTCAAGCAAGGTGGTGCAATGTTAGCACAATCACCTCACAGCAAGAAAGTTCTGGGTTTAAACTAGAGATGGACCGATCCGATATTACGTATCGGTATCGGTCCGATACTGACCTAATTACTG